ACAAATGAAAAATAAATATATGAAAAAATGTTCAGCATCACTGGTCATTTGAGAAATACAAATTAAAACAACACTGAGATCCATTTTACTCCAGGAAGAATGCAGTCATCAAGAAAACAATCAATAACAAATGCTGACAGGGATGTCAGGAGGAAAGGAACCTTTCTCCACTGTTGGTGGACATGCAGACTGGTGTAACTACTGTGGATATCAATGTGGAGATTTCTTTAAATGTAGGATTAGAGGTGCCTTAGAAATAGCTATTCTCCTTCTGAGTATTTTCCCAGATAGATAGATGATAGATAGATAGATATCTAGATAGACAGATAGATAGATAGATAGATAGATAGATAGATAGATAGATAGATAGACAGACAAATAGATAGACAGATAGATAGAAACAGCATACTACTCAGCCTGGGAAGAAAGATAAACTTGAGACTTTTATAGAAAAATGGGTGCAACTTGAGACCATACTCATAAGTGAAATAAATCGATCTCACATGTGTAAACATCATAGTGTCTCGCTAGTGTAAGAATCTGAAAGAGTAAACAGATCAAAATTTTACTACAGTCATTACAAATAAAGAAGAAATTGTTCAAAATAAAAGAAAAACTGTGATGAAAGAAAAAGAAAAGAAAGGAAGTAAAAAGGAAATGTGGGGGAGGGACAGTTAAGGTAGTTATATCGCTGCCTTCTCTTGGTTCACTGAGGGAAAAGTGTTGTGATAGTAATTTTCTGGACAATGTTTCATGCCTGTATCTTGTACTCTGAACAACTACTATGCTTATAACAATGCATATTATGATTATCGTTACTCTCCTAATAGTCTGTTTTAAAGCTCTGTTTCGTTGCAATTTTTACCTTTTTTCTGTTCTAAATTTAAAAATAGCAGTTGAAATAACTTTATTGTGGAATATAGAATTGAAAATGATTTTTATACTGGCTGTGCACCCAATAACTAGGAAAATGCCTCAAAAATTTAAATAATTTATCCAACACTTTTATGAATGAATTAAATTTTTCATAAAATTTCCTGACTTGTAAAAAAAATTGCTATTTTTATCCTGTGTTTTTTTACTTTCATTATTGACAATAAATTTTCTCAAAAACCATCAGGAATCAAGAGAGCTAGCAGGGCTTTTTTATTCATATCTTGTCTCAAAAGAAAAGCTTTTCATATTTAATCATAAATATTTGTCGATATTTTATAGTATCATAAATTCTTTCTGTTGTGACATCATAAAAATCTTAACAATTTATATATGCTGAATTTTTTCACATGATTTTATGAATTTATTGGAATTATGTATCTCTCTCCTTTAATCTACTATTGTGCATAATATTAAAACATTTATGTTAAACCTAGCTTGCATCTGTGCATAATTTTCTTGCTCTATCACTTGAATCATTTCACATAGTGTAGGATTCATTTTTACAATTATTTTCTACAGACTTTCTTATTTAGGCCTGAAAGTAGAATTCTTGCTACCATACTTTTTAAACTATAGTTATATAGTACCTTTTTCTACTAAGTTCAATTTAAACTCATAATAGAATTCCCTTGGTTCTCTCCTCAGAAACTGTATAAATAATGTGTTTGACATATTTCACCAACAAAGCATGCTTTGGGAATTTCTTGCAGAAATTCAATTTCATCATGGGGAGCACTGTGCATGTATAACTTTCTACAATTCTAAAATCCTTTATGGCAATTAAAATCTCTTAGGAATTTTCACATATCCCTCACACTTTCAAATTTATTAAAGAGGCACAATATCACTTACCAAATATTTGCAGTTTCTCGATTTCTATAGCTAATGTTTTAATTCTGACATTATTTGCCTTTTTAGTGGGTACTGATACCCACTAAAAACTTGGGTTTAATGTATTATTCTTCTTAAAACTGACTTTTTAGTTTGACACAATTTAAACTTTTCTTGCCTATAGTTTTATTTTTACACTGAAAAAAATCATTTCCCAAACCAATATCAAGGAATATGTTCTTTGATTTTTTATCAAAGAGTTTTATGGTGCTATGTCTTGCAGTCTTTAATCCTATTGGAGCAGATTTGATATATGATATTAGCTTAGATCCAAAATCATTTCTTTGCCTGTGAATATCCAGTTTTTCCATAACTGATAAATGAAGAGATTATTTTACCATATTGTATTCTTCATGGCGTGTCAAAAATTTGATGGGTATTTAGGTTTGGTTACTCCAATTACCTTTATCCTGTTACATTAAGCAATAATGTTATTTTTATGTCATCAACATACTCATTAGGTAATTTGAGCTTTGTAAACAGTTAGAAATCAAGATGGAGGGGTCACCCCAGCTTTATTCTTACAATTAAAAATTGTTTGGATATTGGGTGTGTTTTATATTTCTGTGTGAATTTTAATACTGGTGCTTGTAATTCTGCTAGCATTTTGATTGGATTATATTGGATTACAGCCATTAAAATGTATGTAGATTTTAATGCTATTAATTACTTATTTTCCTGCCTAATTAGTGTTGCCAGGACTTCCCGTACCATGCAGGATAGAAACAGCAAGAGCGGGCATTCTTTTCTTGATCTTCATCTGACAGTAACACTTTCAGTCGCTGATGTTGATTGCTGCTATGAGATTGTGATTCACAGTTCTTATTATGTTAAGCTAAATTTCTTCTGTATCTAACTGCTTGAGACTTTCATCACAAAAGATGTTGAATATTGTCAATTAACATTTTTCCATCTTGGAGCTGAAGGTTTAGCTCAGCGGCATAAGCGCCTGACTTGCAAGCAGGCAGTCGTGAGTTCGGTCCCTGGTACCGATAAAAAGGAAAAAGACAACAAAAAAAAAAAATTTCTCCATCTGTAATGGTGATCATATAGGTGTGTCATGGTTTATCCTGTTAATAATCCTTCTTACCGTTTTCTGTATGTTGACTCATACATTGTTTTTACCAAGTATAAATCCTTATTAATCATGGTGAATGATCACTTCAATATGCTGCTGAAATCTCTTTGTATATTTTATTGCACCTTCACAAGTGTGTTTCTCTTAGACACCGTGCAGTGATCTGGGCTGACACACCTACTGTCATCTTAACCACAATTAGCATCTTACCTGCCAACTTACCTGACCCTGGCACGCATTCTGAATCCTTTAGAATAAACTCAATGGTTAAGACAATAAAGTACTTAACATGTCCATCATTTCAACTTTTTCACACTTTCCTGATTAGAGCATCTTAAATTTCTACTCATAGCAAAACTGAAATATCTGACTCCAAAAGTTTCATGTTTTTCAGTTTTGCTGACAGAATATGACTGATAAAGAGTCTTATATATGTTTTCAGTTTCCATGACTATAATGTGGGTTTAAATTTCTATCTGCCTGATTTTCATCTTTTGATTTTTTCTCTTCTTAAAATTCAAGAGTAGTGTGTATTATTAAGATATTAAGTTTCTAGATGATTTTTTTCTTCCATTGTTGGTTATTCATATTTTCTTCTTGGAGCCTGTTTCTGTCACAAATTGTACTGTTTCTTAAATCATGTGCTAGGCACAGTTGAAAGTGCTTATTTTCAGTAAAAGCCTGATGTTTTACCTAAGGTCTCTTATCCTTGACTGAGTAAGGTCTGAACTACATAAATATTAAATAGGTTATTTGAAGGTAAGCTGAACAATAAAATCATAAAACATATTTGATTTCTAATGGCAGGTTGATTGATGGTTTGGGAAAAAAAGGCAAAACTACCACTTGGAAAATTCTGTATGAGATGCATGTTTAATGAAATATGATTTGGAAGAATTGTGTGCACAATCAGAGCTCAAAAAGAGAGAGATTCAATTAAGCATGTTACTTTCTATGTGATAAAACCATAATGCTTTTTTAGTGATCTTAGGATATTAAAACATAGGTTTAGAGATGAAAAGTAATTGGACACACTGATGAAAAATGTATTAAACTTGTAAATTTGCCTTTCATGTAAGCCAAAATATCATCCTTTTTAATATACTACAAGGTAAGATATTACCAATGGATTCCACTTTCTTCACACTTATTTCTATAATTTAAAGTCCTCAAGAATCCCAGGTAACAGGTTTTGAAGTGACACATCTGCACCTGAAGTGTAAGAATTAGACATATCACCAATCTCTTCTCATTCTGAAGTACAAATTTGTGTATGTTCAATAATTCCATTTAAAAACTAATATATATTGTATGTTGTTGATTTTTCCTCATCTGAAAAAACGCATAGATTCAATTTTCATACATTTGACATTGATCAATTAATTGGCCATCACATTCTCATTGCTTCCATATACCGTGTTATCCTTTGGAGAAACACATTTTTGGACAATATTGGCTCACACAGAGCTCCTTGGGTATTTCCATCTTTACTACTATCTCTCTCTTAAGTGCATTTTAAGTCATCACAGTCAGTTCTAGTAATTCTAGGGGGCCTGACTTCAATCCAAACACTTGACATGACTTTTTCCTCCCCCTCTTTTTCTTCTGGATCATCAACATGCTCATCAATATGCCCATCACTGATTCCAAAAAGCCAGTAACAATGCCGTTCTTGTTGGCCATGGATTTCCTTATGCATTGTGTCATGTTGAGATATTTGTGCACAATAAAATAGGATCATATACAAGAGTTGTATTGATTTGAGGTCTGTTTCTGTTCCTTATGATACCTCTAATTTTACCTCTTATTTTACCTCTAAAAGGTAAAAATCCTTTCCAAACACCACCAGAAAGCCCTGAACATCCACATACCCAGTCTATCTTTTCAGACCCTCTTGAGCCCAAAGTCACCCAAAGTGTTTTTGCTTTGTGATCTTTTCTTGCTCAGATAATCTTGTGACTGTATTCATTTTGGACATTTGATAAAATACCAATGTTGAAGCAAAATAGTGGAATTTTACCATCATGTTAACCACTCACCTGCCTTTTTCTGCTGATGTAAAATAATAAAATTACTTCCATATTTACTTCTTCCCTTTCAATAATGAGAGTTATCCATTGGCAAAAAGTATTCAGTGACTGATTTGATACTCCACATATTTCACCTGCAACAGAGGGTGGTCCCAGATTATTTTATATTAAAGGAAAAGGCACGCAGTACTTGAGGATTTCAAATGGTGCTGGTTTGGATACAGATATGTAAGAAATTTAAATAATGCCGAGAATTTGAGGCCTTAGATTGAATTTACACATATATTGCATCCATGACTTTCACCTTGATTACATATTTAAATTATGATGTTTTGTGTAAAATGAATATATTTTATCTATTTTTAATACATCTAATAGGAAATTCAAATTTCTATCTTGAAAATCACAATAAATTTCAAGCGGGGAGGGTCTATGAAGATGGTGGCTTGATAGGTATCTGGATGGAGAGCCTTTCTGAGAAAAACAGCTCAGATGCTAGAATTTGACAACATGGAGAGGGCTGGATGAGGGGAGAGGGATTCTCGTAACCCAGGAAGAAACTGAAGAAAAAGAAAAAGGGGAAGAGGAAGGAAAAACACTGGTGGAGGGCTGGAGCCGGACACACTCATTGAGACTGGTCCATGCTGTGCTGGGCAAGCCGTGGAGTCAGACAATTCACGGTCACACTGAAGCCACGGCCACCAATAACAGGAGTTGGTGAGTCCCAGGCCCTTGGCAAGAGGACATGACATGGAGTGGAGCCAAGGTGGAGAACTGCATTAAATCATGGTGAGTGCTGGAAATTGGATCCTGCAGCGGGTGTGGCTGGCTAGAAGACATATTGGAGTTGGGCAGGATAGGCCTGAGTATGGCACTGCAGTGGTGTCAGTTACCCACCCCTGACGCAAAGAGGACTGGTGGGACCTGCTTGGGCTGAGTCACACCCCTGGTTGGGACCCAATAGCCAGGGATAAACCTATCCTGAACCTATGACATCTGCACACCACAGATGAACGCACTGAAGACACTCGCTGGTTGACTGGCTCAGAGGAGAGGGGCCAGCCCACAGTCCCTGCATGTACCTCAGATAACAGCAAACTGGAAAAGGCGGCAAGTCCCCCCACGAGCACACTTCAGAAAAACCATAAGCAATATGGAGAGGGCCTGAGACCTCCACCACACACTTGTCTGAAAGAAACCAGAAACATGACAAGAGAAAGACATAAGAAAAAATCCCCATCCACTGACCCTGGGAAAATAAGTCCAGGAGAGGTGAATACAAAAGAAAACCAGTGCAGCAATCATGCAATATTGGCCACAACATCAGCAGGCATAAAGAAATACCTTCATAACCTCATAGATGAACTTAAAACTGAAGTGAGGCAAGATATAAAAGATTAATAAAAGAAATGCTAAGCCCTTCTCAAGAAGACAGAGATGGAAGAATGGAGGAACCCAGAAAAGGAAGAGAATCCTTTGGTGAATAATATAAACAAAATCTAGAATACATGAAACAGATCCAAAGAGATTACCAGGAAATTAAAAACTCCTTTGAAAGCTGGCAAAATGCCTTTACAGAAACTAAAGTTAGCCTTTCAAAACTTGAAGGTAGATTTGCAATGTGTGATCATGAAAGAAAAGACCTCTTAAAAATAACAAGGAACCAGGAAGTAACAATTCAAAGGCTAGAAGACAAGAGGATCTATATCTGAAGAATAAAAAACATGAGCAAAGAAGCAGGAGTAACACAAATGAATTACACAGGCTATTCACAGAAGTAATTAAGGAAAACTTCCCAGGCATAGGAAAAAGAAATGATATCCAGATAAATGAGGCATACAGAACTCCAACCAACTACAACCAAAACAGATCTATACCCAGACTTATAATAATCAAGATCCCAGAAATTCACCATGAGAACAGAATATTAAAAGCAGTCAGAGAAAAGAAGCAGATCACCTATAAAAGAAAGTGCTCTAAACTATATAACTGCATGTATATTTAAGTGTATAAGATAGAAAATGATATCACAGAGTTTTATTGGATCGTTGAACAGAACTGTTTGCAGTATCATTGTTGGAATGTCCACTCTACAAGCTTTAATTTTGTGACTTGAACAATTATTTCTAAGATAGCAATATGTAATCCATTAACTAATGATTTCCTACTGTTCATTTTTTTCTTCTGTAAATCTGTATAACTTGTACCCTTTCACTGTTTTTTTTCCTTTTCGCCTTAAATAAATAAAAAAAAGAAAGTGCATCAAAATAACAACAGACTTCTCAACACAAACTATCAAATCAAGAAGAGCCTGCAGTGAAGTAGTCCAAGTTCTAAAAGAAAATACCCTCCATCCCAGATTGATGTACCCTGAAAAACTCTCTCTCTAAATTAAGGGAGAAACAAGATGTTTCCAAGACAAGGAGGATCCATGGCAGTTCGTGGCCACCAATCCAACCCTACATAAAATACTGAAGGACATTCTAGAGAGACAGAAAAAAAAAACAGGATTCCAGTAACAGTGGCAGAGAGGCCTCAATGAATGGGGCAGATAGTGGAATGAAGGAGAAAAGTGGACAAATAATAGCAGAAAAATAGAATAGCAGAGAAGGTGGGCAGAGTAGCAGAGAAACACAGGCAGAGTAGACCAGTAGACCAGGAGATAGGATCCATCATGATGCTCTAAATAGGAAATATACTCAACCTGAAGGAGGGTTAATAAACTGAAAGTCAAGGATGAGAAAACAATGCTCTATTTGTCAGGGAACCAGAGAGAAATAGGTACAACTTGTCCAGCAGCTGCAGATAGGTTGGAAAGTCATGACACTTATGTGCAGAGGAGAACTACTCAGCTATAAGGAAGGAAAACTTTGTGGCTTTAGTAAGTAAAAGAATACAGCTCAAGATCAAGTTCAGGGGTAAAAAGGTTCAACACCACTTAGATAGATAACGGGTTGCCCCCGTAATCTAAAAACTAAAGGAGTTAGTGGGACCCAAAATATACAAAGCACCATGGGAAAGGGAAAGGGGAGGAATTGCCTAAAAAAGGAAAGCATGGGGCATAGTTAATAGTGTATGAGGATTTAAAAGCCACATTAGTCTTATCATTCTGTTTAGTTTGATTCTGTTTTGTTCTGGTCTAGATTTGAGGGCACAGACAGCTATCCCCAAAATAGCAGGATATACTATGGTAAATATCCTTAATTCCCTATGAACTTAAACTGAAGCCATGCATTACTTACATTGTCTTACTGTGACTGGTCTTATTTGAAGCTGGTTTGTTAGACCACTGTTTTGTCTTGACTGATTTTATTCCAATTTGGTATGCTTGATAGTATCAAGTCTAAGAGTAGAGGCAACTACTCTGAAGATGACAAGATGTAATAAGATACCCATTCTGGTTTGATTATTAACTGCTTTTGAAGTCCTACAATGTCTCCAATGTTGTGTTTTTATTAAAATTGCTATGTAATGTTATGTTCAATTATATTATGTCTGATGATGTAGACAATTCTATTGAAAATAACAAAAGAAAGCATAGTAACTACTGTAGATCACCTAATATTGTAGTTTTATATGTCTTTTTCGTTTCATGTTTTTCCAAGAATTTGTTTTATTGTCTTGTTTTGATGTGTTTTTCCCTGTAATACAGAAAGGATAGGTATACATGTAGACATTCACACATGTAGAGAATTTCTAAACAGTGTACAGGAACAGATTATATAATGCACCATGTAATGAATAGATACTATGAAAAATAAGAGACACTAAGATACCCAGTGCTAATTCTGTAGCATTATGATATAAAATCTAGCAATATTATTATTCACTGTTTAGAGTGATATTAGTCTAGTCTCTTATGTTTAATTTCAGCATACATAAAGATATAGACAGCTACTTTGAAGAGAATAAGAGACATTATGGAAGCCATTGTTGACTTCCCTAATGTCAGGTCTTGAAGACCTAAAAAGCCTTAATAATCCTGATTAGATCTGATTCTATTAGTACTATAGTGTTCAGTATGTATTCACTGTGTGTGAAGTTGGGGACAACTATTTAGAAGAAAACTAGAGACAATGTGATAGACAGTGAAGATCTCCAGTGGACTTGATTTGAAATACGTGTTTCTTAAAATTGTTCCCTTATGATCTGTTTTATTATGTTTAATCTTACCCTCTTTGAAATAAAAAAAATTTAAAAAGAAGTATATACATCAACCTTAAATACTCCAAGCTCTATTTGAGGTATTAGATGTATGTCAGTACCCTAAAAAGTAAAACACAATAACCAAAGAGACTGGATGTTCATTGTATAGGAAAAGCATAGATATATATTTTAAAAGCTATGAAAATTGAACTTATTGGAAGAATTCAGCAGTCTAGGCAGTTCCCTCTTTATAATCAACAAAATACAGTAGTAGGTCTCTTGATGCTTGGATCAATTTAACCACAATTATCACCTCATCCATGTTTTATAGATACATTTATTATATACCAAATATGTCAAAATATTAGTTAAATACATCTCTTCATTTCAATAAGTCTTCATGAGATATGGAAAGATTTTTTTGGTAGTATACTATGGTGTGTTTTCTTTAAATATATCAATTTGCAAAACTTCTTGAATGACACAATTTTCATCTTTTAGCACCTTAAAATCTATTCTATTCAACTCAATTTTTTATTAAAGTCCTCAAGGACGAGATACAAGTGATAAGTGGCTAGACTCCTTGCACATCTTTTTTTCAGCATGGCTGATGAATTTTCATTATGTTGGAAAAATATATGTGGACTTTAGTCCCAATCATTCCATAGTTAGTGTTTCCATGGTCTTCAAAATTTCTGCAGTTCAAATGAAACATGTAACACTGAATGAAGTTTTTTCTGTAAAGAAACTTATTTCCTGCTACTAGCTGCCTTTTCTTGCTGTATTAATTGGAATACCATTGGGAGTGCACTTCAAGAGACCTTCAGCTTAAAAAGTTTCCATCATTTAATGATTTCTTCCATCACTCCTCATCATGCCTCAGGCACTGCTATTCCTGGTAAGCATGTGTGCCATGCCTCTTGGAAAGGTCACCAGTCCTTCTCCTTTCTCCTCAGATGAATTTTCTTAATGAATAATATGTGAAATTTGTTTTCCTTGGTCTTCCAAACTCAATTCAGTTTTCCACCTTGGCCATCCTATTCTTCCATTGTAGTCATTGATCTAATTCTTTCGTAGTCTTTTAAAAGGTATAATAAATAAATGGGTTGCAATGGCACAGACCTGTAATCCTAGTAGTAAGGGAAACTGTAGGATGATCAAAAGTTAGAGCACAGCCTGGGAAATTTGTATAATTTGAAAAAGAAGCCTCGTCTCAAAATAAAAATGTATTTTTAAGAAGGGCTAGGAACACAGAAGATACAGACTAGCCAAAGCAATCCTAAGCAAAAAAGAGCAAACCATAGTAACACAAAGGACATGATCATAGCACAAAAGTAAACATGTAGATCATTAGAGTCTTATAGAGGAACACAGTGACAAACCCATGCAACTGCAACCACCTGATTCCTGACAAGAGAACCAAAAATGTACATTAGAACCAAAGAAAAGCCTCTTTACTAAATGACGCTGAGAAAATTTGAATATCTGTTTCTATAAGACTAAAAGTAGATTCCTATTACTTTTAATAAATCCTCACCTTGAACAAAATAATCAATTCAAAATGGATCAGAGGTATAGCTATAAGACTTGAAAGTTTGATACTAAAAGAAAACATAAGGCAGACACTTGGCCCTATATGCACAGGTAGGGAACTCCTGAGTAGGGCTCTAATAGCACAAAATAACAAGAGTAAGATCAAGGAACAAGAATCAATAAATAGAACTACAATAAAATAAAAGTTTCTACACTGGAAGGGAAACAACTAACACAATGAAGAGGCATATCATGGACAGAACAGGCCCGCAACCTCCCAAATAGGTGACAACCTCCCAAACAAGTGGATGGTGAATGCTTGAGACAAGTGACATGATCTTAGGACTCCAGGAAGATCAAAACCCTCTATCAGAATCTAGAGATTCCAGGAGACTGAGATAAATAACTTCTCTGAGCACCCATATTTATTTGATTTTCAAACAAAGGAAGAGCATACTGAGGAAAATGGGGCAACTGAGCAAGATCTTGGGAATCAGTTCAAAGACTTCTCCAGGTAGTAAAGTGTGCTAATTTAGGAGAACTGTCTTATCTTCAGATTGACATTTGTGGGAGGAGTGGAGCCTGAAGCTATAGTCTCTTTTTATCTAATTGAGTTTGGAGCCAGGCATCCTCAGCTGTGACCTTCTCTTGCCCTTTGAGACATCGCAACATCATAGGCCACTATGGGCCTCATAGCAGTTCATTTACTATGAATCTGCTGTCCATCATAAAAGGGGCTTAGGTCTTGGACAGAGCTGAAGTAAACATAGAAAGCCAACTGGTTAGTTTTAAATCCTGCTCGGAACCCCTTCATAGTGGTCTCCATCAGAGATAAATCTTTACCAGCCACTCTTCCAATGAACGTTTAATATCTAGAATATACAAAACAACTCAAAACTTAACACAGAAAAATTAAGAAGCTCATTCAATAAATGGTTAAATAAGTTCTTAAAAGAAGAACAAACACCCAGTAAATATATGCAAAAACATTCAGCATCTTCAGTCATTAAGGAAATACAAATCAAAATTACACTGTGATTCCATCCCATCCCAGTCAGATGGTTATTATCAAGAATTTAAAAAAAAAGTTGCCAAGGATGGCAGAGGAACTTACTGCTTACTGCTAGTACTAACGTAAATTAGTACAACCACTATAGAAATAAGTATAACAGTTCTTCAGAAAACTAAAAGTAGAACCATGGCTTTATGCACCAATATTACCCGTTGGTATCCACTAGCATGAATTAAAATCAACATACTACAGGAATACCTGCATGACTATGTTGTTCACAGCACAATTCACAGTAGCCATGATATGGAATCAGCTAGTTTTCCATCAGTAAGTAAATGAATAATTAAAACACCATATATACTTAATAGAATACTTAACCATAAGGGAGAATGAAATCATGTTATTTGTATAAAAATGCATAGAACTAGAAATCATCAAGTTAATTGAAATAACCCAGACTCTGGCAGGTAAATATTGAATGTTCACCCTAATATGCAGAATCTAAAACTGTGTCATGAAAGAGGGAAGCATATTAGACAAGATAAAGGAAATATGAGAAAGAAAGCAAATGTAAGGGCAGATAGTGGGTTCACAACTAGGACAAAAATATAGTAGAGGACCAGGAATATAGCTCAGCCGTACAGTGCCTGCCTGGCAAGTACAAGGTCCTGAGTCTGATTCCAATATTTTGCAACATTAATGGGCACTAATAAGACTAAATTAACAAAAGCAGTTAGCAAAATATAAATTCTTGTTTGAAGCAGAAAACACTCAAGGGAATATTCTTGTTCTCCTCAAACATCTGAGGAATCAAAGAATGAAAGACAGCCCTGGAAGTCATGGGACCAATAGATAGAAGTCTCTGGGAGACAGAGTTCAGGTTTGGAGGTCACATCCACCCAGGTGCTCTCATGTGTCCCCTACATGCCGAGTTCCTTCCCATATATCATAACAAATATATCAGATGAATTTTGTTACTCCTATTTTACATGCAAAAAAAAAAACAGACCAGACCAAGATAAATAAATTGTCTAAGTGGTGGAGATTTGGTTAAAAATGGGAAGACGGCTCAGATATTTTCTGAATAGGGATTGGTAGGATGTGGCTAGAAAAGTTATAGGAAGGATGTAAATGTTTGTCATCTAGATTGCGATGATTTCACATTTGCATGCCCATGTCAAAAACTAATGAGTTTTAATTTTTAAATATGTGCACATACTTGTTATATGCCAAGTATTCCTTAAGTAGGTAGTTTTCTAAAAAGATGAATTCAAACGCAGATAAAACCAAATAAGAAAACAGTTTGTAGCATAAAAGGGTAGAATTTATCACTTTCTCTTAATTATAAAGGGAAAAACTTCTCAAGCATGTAAGAGCAACAAAATGTTTTCTGTTTTCATAATAAATAGCATACTTTATTGCAATAAGTAGATGTATCTTATATGCAAATTAACTCCAGAAAAAAACCACCCATCTCTTACGATTTCTCAGTTTAGCCAAAGGGTGGCAGTGTTTAAAAAGCATTTGGAGTGAGATAAACTCAGTGCGGACAAGTAGGCACCCAGGATGGTCTCTGATTGGTGCAGCCCCCTGGATGAATGAACCTCTTGGAGAAACTTTTCAGGAAAATCTGTTCCCCTGACTTCATTGAGAAGCCAAGAGATGGAGACCCTCCTGCATGTACTCATGGTGATGCTGGGATTGCAGGCAGCCTGTGAGTCTGTGCTTCATCTGGGAGTTGTGAGATGATGGCGACAGGCACTGTCATTTTCTGTCCTGAGAAGGCCTTTTGAGAACCAGAAAATGTTTTTTTTTTTTTTTTTAAAAGACAGTATTCTGTGTTAATATGATGATGATGATGCCTAGGGAATGGGGAAAGGGGAGAAAAGTCAGCCTCCTGCTATGATCATGAAGAACTTATGGGCGTTTCCTATGTTTCCTTACCCTGCCCTTTGAACAGGGGTCAGCAGCCAAGAACTGCGGCAGAGTCAGTCTCTGGTGACTCCAGAAGGAGAAGAGCTCACCATAAACTGCAGTTCATCAACCACTTTATACGCCTTACACTGGTACAGACAGACTGACGGAGGTCCTGTCTTCTTGATGACATTACACAAAGGTGGAGATGAGAAAAGCCATGGAAAAATAACTGCCAACCTAGATGAGAAAATGCAGCAAAGCTCCCTGCGCATCACAGCCACCCGGCCCAGCCACTCAGGCACCTACTTCTGTGCAGGAAATGCACAGTAATCTCCACACCTCTGAGGGCTGTCCCCAAACCTCCAGCTGGGGTACAGACACTGTCCTGACACAGGGTGCTGAGAGGTGCTCCTTGACAAAAGGAAACCTGAAATCACAGCACTTGTCTCATTGAAAAAGTTTTAAAGAGGGAAGGGAGTAGGAATGATAAAAGGGGGAGTTGTATCTTCAATCACAAATTTAATTTTACTGTACTGGCTGTTGATTACGTCACTTTTTAATCACTGCAACCTCAAACTGGGATAAGTAGCATGAGTTGCAATAATTTATGTAACAACAGCACAAATCGTATGCAGCTATTGTCCCTAAGAACCTGTTTCCCTTTTGCCGCTTACCCACCTTCTTCATAAAAGGGAGCTCTGACTCATTATTAGGTTCTCTGTAACAGATTAAAACTATGATGGAACTATGGTGGTAGCAATCCTGCTGCACACTGGGGAAGAGTCGCAGGCAATAGTCGTTCTCTACATTTCAGTTATAAATGTAGAAAGAAATAGGAAATGTATAGACAGGTAGCTGTGTGTACACAATTAGGGCCTAGACTGACCTCCACTTCTCATTGTGTCACCAGCTTCCTCCCTGTGGCTGGGTTCTTGTCCAGAGGGTGACAAAGACTGAAGCTTCCTCACACAGTAAGCAGGGGGAACAACCAGGCATGGCATGGTAGAAAATTCTTGCCGAATGAGAAGTCCCAGGAAGCAGCCAGGTTCACAAGCTTGTAAGCAGCTCTGAAACGTTAGATGACAGGTTAAAAGACCAGCAAACCTGCAAGTTCTGTGTTCTGGCCAGCTCACCACCAGCATATTCATCTATTCTTTGTCTTTTGCACTTTAATTTCCCTCAAGGTTCATCTCACCTTGCTTTAGTTTACTCCGTTTATTTAGTTTGTTCCGGTCTTTTTTCTTCATCCTTTTATTTTCTGATCTCAACTGTGCTTTCATCCATATTCTGTACTCTGAAGTATCCAGTGGCTTGAAAGATTCTTTTCCATTTAGCCACAACATGAAATGATAAGAATTTTTAAACTTTCTCAATTTTTATTTTCTACTGGTATATGCTTGCTGTATATAATGATTACATTTCTTATGAGGATTACATTCTTCCTTAGTATATGCACATAACACAGCTTAATTCTTTTTTCTTTCATCCTATTCCCCTCCTCTCCCTTTATCTTCCCTCTATACCTTCTGCCCTTCTTGAAAAAGATCTACCTGCCTGTTTCTTATTACTTGTATTTTATTGTGTTCTTTATTTATGCAAAATTTAAGCTTAAATGTCTGATTTATTCCCTTTAATATTATGGCCTCAAGGTGCATTTTTCTTTATCCTCCGTGTCTATACCCAACATATAGCCAACTCAAAGCAAGTGTAAAAAAATATTGTTTGAAAAACTGGTAAGATCACAGGCTAAAGAGAAATAATTCACATGTTTTTTAGAGAATCTAAAATGCTCCAGAGAGTAAACAGTTCTGCCTTAAAAGCTATGCAATGTTAAGCAGTAGCTATAAATTTCTAAGTCATTACTTCTACCTCTTAAAATTGACACATTCATACTGTTTTATTCGTGGGGCTTATATTACGATGAAGCAAGGCCATAGACTGTACCTGTTAAGTCTGATACTCTGCAAGCCCTCAGTTTTTGAAATAGTATTTTCAGGATTAATCAATGATAATCTAAAGTAAATGAAATATTTTTAGATAAAATCATGACTATGATATGTCTCCAACCTAATTTTAATAAGAAATAGACATATCTAAAGACCTACAAAAAAAATTTAAAATGTCTCTTAGTGAGTGATGTAATAAATAAATAGAAATCCTAAGTAGCCACGATCTCAAATCTAAAAAGTCTTCTACAGTTTTGGATTTAAAGCCAATGTTGGTTTCCAATCTTCTGTAACCAGGAAATGAACCATGAGAGGTATGAAGCCCTAAAAAAGAAATACCTTTCAAGGCCTTTTTTATATAAGACCTAAGAAAAAAATGAGTAGAGAAGAATCTCCCCAGAGGCAGCTTCAGAAATCATCAGAACCAATGGATGAAGACTTTCCTTGCAGCCACGATAAGCCTGCGGAGGAACTTTCTTCCATCTTCAGTCTCTGCATCATCCTAAAAGAACTGTGACAAGAAACCACTCTTCAAATTTCATATGGTTCTTACCCCTCTTCCTCTTGTGTATACAGGCAGAGGACCAAATAATTTTAGTTCATAAATCCCCATACCAATAGACACTACATCATCCTGCCCTGGTTAAGTGAGCTGTATGTCTTCTGAGATATTCACCCAGATTTAGGACAGGCACGGCATATGAGATTATCCCCTTTGGGAGATGGTTATGCCTTTTCTCTTTTCCAGCAGGAAAAGCAGTGTAGATGTGCATTGAAAAAACAACAGACTGTCACAGAGCAGCTAGCTGCTCCCTAAACCAAAAACCTGTAATTTTCTTTCTTAGAAATAGAAAGCTGTCATCTTGAACTGCAATCCTCTGACCACTCTCTTGCCTTCATGAGAGGCAAGAATCTAAGTAAAATCCCACTGTCTTCCAAGAAGGTTAATAAGATAAGCAAGCATGTGGACAGAAGGGACAAATTAACTCTAAGAAATGGTCACTGTCCTTCCTGCACTTCATCACTTTGTAATCTTAGACTCAGATGCACCCTGAAAGCCTTGAAAGGCCTTGAAAGCGAGAAATACTGATGGGCTACAGAGCAGCATATCCACATCCAGGACCATGTCAGTCTCACCCAATTTTGTGGTCCAGACCTGGAGTTGCAAGGGTGTTTAGCATCATTGCCTGATTGGGGTGTTCTGTGAGAAGCGGCTAAAGTCTCACTTACCAATTATTCTTCAAGGAGGCTACTGAGGCAGTAAAAAGAGAGAAGGATCAGAAAGGAGCACCTAAATGACATCACACACACACACACACACACACACACACACACACACACACACACACACCGCTGATGTGTTCTGATCAGCTGACAGAGGTTTTCTGAGCTGAATACTAAACAGAGATACCATTTTCCCAGCCTATCCCACTGTGTTCCTTTATTAACTGAGCACTGTGTGTGAAGCAAAAGAGTCCTGTACAAATGAAAAGAGATTTGTTAGGACAGCCTGATGCCAAGTTCCAGTTGTCCTTTGAAGGCCACAGTGGGAATGAGAATAGAGAAATTGTCTGCACTCACTGAGTAGTGAGACTTAGATGGAACTTCAGGGCTGCCTAATCTCTACCAAAGAAATTGATGAATCAATTGTAGCTCTCTAACTGTGACTTTCCAACAGCTAGAGGGTTGATAGGAGTTGAGGAAAGCAGGGAGAGAGAGAGCAGAGGGCTTTCCTTTCCAATAACACTGGCCCTATCTTCTCTCACTGCCTAACGCTCCTAGGTGGCCCCGCACCTCATGTGTGGATGCAAAGAGAAGCAGACTGTGTTTAATAGTCCTCATCTTGCACAGTTTTTTTTTCCCTTGCTTTGTTTTACACTCCTGGACAAAAGGCCTGAGCCTAAGGTCTTTGGTCCTTCTCCCTTCTTGTACCTTTTCCTCCTTCTTATTCTGTGCCACTTGCCTTTCACCAGGCCCAGCGCGTACACTGTGACTTGATACTGCACCATTAGGCCACTGGAATCCTAAGGTTTCTAGTCAATAACTTTCTGGCGGAACTTTCCCCTATTCTAATGGGCCATACTTATCTTCCTGTTCATTCTCTAAACGAGTGGTGCATAGTCTCACTTCTATCTCTACCTAATATTCTAGTTAGCTCTCCAGGGACTGTTCTGTTTGGAAAAAGGATGCAAGAGAAGCAGTAAATTCAAATCAAATTGCCTTATGGTATACTTGCGGCTCCTATTGCAGTAGGACAACAAAGAATTTTCATAGTTAAATACCGTTTCCCCCACTTCTGAACTCTGCAGGGGGTAGGTGGCTCCCACTAACAGGGGGCAGACACCATAGTGTCAGCAGTTTAAAATCCCATGTTTCATGCAAATTTATTCAGAAAGATAACGCAGTTCAGAAGGGAAAAGTAAGTCACTATTGTTTGACAATACACAGAACAGAGTGCAGCGAGATGGCTTGTATCCAGATGTCTCCCAAAAGCTTCATTCAGTCACAGATGGGGCTTTTCACAGATGGATCTAGAGTGTGCAGTGCTGGAATTGATTCATGGTGCAATACTAGGATTAGAAGCACTAGGATGAAAAAAAGGACTATCTTATGTCTGACACTTCTTAATTGTGTGACTTTGAACAAGGTACTGTGGTATCTTCTTTAAAACTTTGATTTCTTCATCAGTAAAATAAAACTCATAACACCTACTTTAAAAGCATAATAAAAGACCCTGGGAGTATTCAGTACTCTTTATCACTTACGTAATACTTGTATTTACATTACGTTAATATGTGGTAGATTGTGGGTATTGTTTATCTTGTAACCCTCCACCAATCTAGAAAATAGACATTATTCATTTTTCAGATGACCTTGATTTCAGAGAGACTTGGAACATCCTCAGGGTCATCTGGTTTGGAAATAGAACTTATAATTGAATGACATCTATGACATTAAACTTTGCTCTTTTTCTGTACTGCTCAGGGAATAATTTAACTTTCAAGAGCTTTCCAACTAGTTCCTCTGCTTCTTTTTCATGGAGAATTTCTGACAGTCTGAACCACTGGACAGAGATCCAAAAAAGAACATTTAATCAACATGTGAACTCTGTGTCAGTCTTTTAGACACAAATGGAACTATCATTTAACTTAGCCAAAGCCAAACTGAGCAGAAAGATCCAGCTCTCCATTCATGGAAACAACTAGATCTACACTGATTGTAGAAGGAAGTAATCATTTCTGACCTGGTCAGAATAAAAATTCATATCAGAGAATGCTCTGAGAACTTGAGCAGCACCTTGGAGCATGTCAGAGACAGGACAGGGCAAGGTCTCATACCTACTTGTTTCTGCCAGTATTTATTGCTAAACAAGTTTTCTCATGCTCTTGGTCACTCACTTGGAGTCTGAAAGCAAGTTTAAACTCTACACACAACTCTACAAAAGGAAATGGGAATGATGGGATCTAGACATTGTAAAGAGACCCTAGCCCTTAATGTGGCTGCATTTGTAGGCGGACAAGGATTATAAGGAAGTGATAGGATAGATGCTGAGAACACGTTCCAATTTATGAGGGCCTCATGAAAAGAAACGTCAGAGAAGCCAGGTGTGACAGTTCATGCTTACAATCCCACCACTTTTGGGAGGCTGAGGCAGGAGGACCATCGTGAGTTTGAAGCCAGCCTGCACTAAATAGTGAGGTCAAAGCCATCCTGGACTACTTAGTGAGACCCTGTTTCAGAGAGAGAAACAGTGAGACAGAAAGAGAGAGACATGAGAGAGTTAGCTCTGTCTCTCTCCTTCTTTCCCCTCCTCTTTTCTCACATTCACTGACACACCACATGACCTTATGACACCTTGATCTTGGACTTCCAGATAGGTGAGAAAACTGACTTTTGTGGCTTACGTTAGCTATTCTCTTATGGCAGCCCTAGAAAACCAACATTCTATATAACTCTGCCCCTGGTCTACTAACTGAGTTAAACCTTTTTGGTCCCCAAATCTACCCTATAACAATGTTTACAGCCTTAGAACTGTGTCATTTTCTTGAAGTTATACTCAAAAAAAAAAAAAAAATAACACACCCATATATTTACTTCATGTTTTTCTAGCTAAGGG